ACAGCTAAGATGCTGAACAACAGCTCAACCTGGAGCTGGGCTGCCATGAGTCGCCTTAGTCAGCGTGGGCTGCAACCCCTACTGCAGTGGGTTGCCATGGGCTACCGTGTGTAGCCAGCAGCCAGCATGAGCGGCCAGCAGCCACCTTGAGCAGCCGTCCAGAAGCCAGCGACTGATCTGCCTCACCAGGGAAGAGCACAATGATGGTGCCAACTTGGGCCAGTGAAGCAACAACGTCCTCCACAGCTAGAATGAAGAACAAAAGGACAGCAACTTGTCTGTTCCCCTTCCCCCAATTCCCCAGCACTGTTCCCATCCCCCAATTCCCCAATAAAAAATCTAAAAAACTAAAAAAAACTAAAAAAAAAAATAAAAGGGAAAAGCGGGCTTTGGTTCCCCCTGCTGGCGCTATTCGACATGACAGCCAACCCCTTCACACCTCTCTCCCCTCCCTCTCCTTTTGCATTCCTCAATTGGGTCAAATACTTAACCCCATTGCTGCAGGGTAAGGCACACAACAGACCTCAGGAAACAAGTTTTATTTCCAAACCCCTAGGAAGGCATTACAAATAATGGAGATAGAAACCCAAATCAAACCCCTAAACAAAGGGAGATGGGGCCTGCAAGGTAGGCGGGAGGACCCAGCCGGTCAGGGGTGGGAGGTAGGGGAGGTGCATTCTAGACGGGGACCTCACCCTGAGCCTGAGTCTGTGTAGTAGTGTGATATTCTAGGGACAGGGAGCTGGGCATCAGACATCCTCACCTCACTAGCCCGACTGTTGCCCTGGGTGATTGGCAGAAAGAGAAGGCCACAGCACGCGTGAGGGCAAGGGTGTCACCTAGTCTGACCTCAGCATTGACTGTTTGCTCTGATCCCCACCAGTCCATAAATAAGGTACCCTGCGTATCTCGGGGCTTGACCTGGGGGCGCAAGCAAACTAGCCAGGGCCTCTGGAAGAGGAGGCCGGGCAGCCTGACACCGGGCAGGGCTACAGGAGGACACAGTCGGACTCTTGCTTTGGCCTCTGCCGACGCTCCCGGGCTGGGCGTCTGGATGGGGCTCCTCTCCCCTGTATGGATTTAACAACAGGTCATCCGTCAGCCTTGCCAGAGCACAAGGACAGAAGTTCTAGGCTGAAGCGGGGTTGGGATGGGGAGGGAGAAAGACAGGAAGGGGCGCAGGGGTGAGGGACAGACAGGAGAAGGGCCCTGAGGGAATTTCACGTGCCTGGGAGCTGCAGGGGTGGTACACTGGGGATGCGGGCTGGGGAAGGGGCGCTCAGGGCGGGCCGCAGGGGGCTCACCTGCGGCGGTGGGGCCCGGGCGGGCCCAGGCTGGACCCCTTGCTGCTGTTGGTACTCCTCATGCTGCAGCTGCTCGGCCAGCTCCAGGTCGCTAAGACCCGCCGTGCCTTGTGGCTGCTGTAGGGACAAGGCGATCAGGTAGTCCTAGAGAGGGGAAGGGAGAGGGTGTGGGCCGCGGCCCACCAGCTGGATTTAGGTCTCCCAACCTGGTTCTCCTCATCCTTCAACTTCTCCAGCTCCTCCTCCGTCACAGCAAAACCCGCAGCCACGGAGGTCACCGTGGTGCCAGAGAAGACACACACAGTAAGCACGACAGGATCGAAAGGTAACAGGGGAAAGGGACATAGGTGTCACATGCTGTGATCTCTGGATGACCCAATGCATGCAGCTCACCAACTGCTAAAAGCTCCCTGACGTGAACATGCTCCCTGCACCCTCCCCAAAGGCCCCACACACCTGGTCTACCTGCCGCTGCTTTTCTGGGGAGCCAGTCCCACCTTCCGCTCCAGACCCCTTGTCCAGGGAATGACTGAGGTGAAAGTCAGAGTCACAGAAGCAGCTGTCGCCATCCACATTGTGCAGGCTCTCCCACACCACCTGCTCCTCCTGTAGAAAGCCCTGGTCGGTGACCAGTAGGTACAAGTGACTCTGCAAGGAAGAGGGCACCGCTGATGAGTGGGATCAGTGATCCAGAGGCAGTCTGCTGCCTCCAATCACCTGAGATGCTCAGAGACTATTTGAACCAAAGGGTGTCCCGGCTGGAACACGTCACCGGAAGCATGAGCATCTTTTATGCTTGTGCGGCTGTGGGGAGAGGGAAGGGGTGTCTGCGTGTATGGTGACAGCGAGGTGGTCACTGTGCTCAAGCAGAGTCCTCAGAGCAGAGGTCTCACAAGATCCTGCTTCCTCTCTTCCTTCCCATGGTTCTCTGGGCTCGCCTGACGGCTATGAGGAAAAATCATGTGAGAACCGAAGCCCTTTCCCTCTCCCCGTAGAGAGCTTAGACAAGTTCTAATCTGCAAGACTACAGTATTGTTCAAAAGTTCCACAGTCTGTCCCGTCTTGGGAGAAGATTATACTTTCCTGTCCCCACTGATGGCAGGCTTATTCCTCATGGCTTGTTCGGGCCAGTGAGATGTTAGCACAAGTGACACATGTCACTTCCAGGCAGAAGCAGTAAAAGCGAGTGCATGGTGCCCCTCCTAGATTCCAGAAAAAGGCTGTTTTGTCAGCCTGGGACCCAGAGTGGAGATGATGTTGGGACAGAAGTGTAGCCAATCTGCAGTGGACATGCAGCATGACAGAAGGCAAACCACAGGGATGTTCGGGGTCCCTTGTTCCCAGAGCTTAATCTGTCCTATCCTGACTGAAACACTGACCCAGAAGGAAAAGGCATGAGGACATAAACAGCACACTCCCCTCCCCTCCACCTCCAACACCCCATCACCTTGTGCTTAGTCATAGTGCTGAAGTGGTTGTTTCGGAAAAAGACGCTAAGTTCACCCTCCTTGGCAGCGGCCGTCAGCTCACACAGTCCGTGGTAGGTCAGCTGTGCCGCAGTGGTCTCCAGGAACTGCTCGGCGATCAGGCCTGCGACGGCACAAGATGGTGGTGGGTTTGGCTTACATCCAAAGTCATAACTGGAAGGACCACCCGAAGAGTCCCTGTCAACAAACCTCGGGGTGGCCCCACCATCTGAAAGCCCTTCCCCGGAGCTGGCCACATTCATTCAACAAAGTGTTACTGAGTGAGCAGCCACCTTGTACCAGGCACTGTACTGGGCACTGAGGGGACATGCCAGGGAACTAACACAGCTCCCCAAACTCCCTTTCATGGAGTTTACATTCTAGTGGGATGTGGTGGGGGAGGGGAGACAGACAATAAACCTAAGTGGCCACCATTCCCTCCACATAAGATCCACAGAGGACACGGGAAGGAAGTCACCTTCCGTAACGAGGTTGGTGTCACTCGAGTGCTTGCAAGTGATGATCTTCTCTACCAGCTGGTTGTAACTCAGTTTCCCCACTGCACTCGCAGCCTCAGGACTCTGCATGGGCAGTGGGGTGGGGTGGGGGGGGTACAAACAAAAAACAAAAAAACACTGAGATCTTTTTAGGAAGGAAATGAACCACGACCACAAGGACTGCAACCCATGCCAAAAGGTTCCTGAAACTTTTGATGTCTAAAGAACTGCATATGGTTTGCTTGTATTTGAAGAGTACCACCCCCCAAAAAAGGTTTAAATTCAAGGAATTCTGCACTGGGTCCTTCCTCTCAACCCTTTTACCCTCCGGAACCAATCTAATCCCTGCCTCCCTAACCCTCGCATAAAACTACGCTTCTCTGTTAGCGTGAGCTGGATCAGGGGCTCACTGGGGCCCTCTCACCCTCACCTGCGGGTCCACAAGCCAGCCGTGGTACAGAGGTATGCCCAGTAGGTCGAAGATGCTGCACTCAGGTGTATACTCAAAATCCGAGACGCCCGTGAATCTCACGTTGACGTCCAGGCCTGTGGCCAGTTTGGGCAGCACTGTCATTGCATCATCCACATTCTGGGTACAGGAAAGAAAATGGCGGATCTATCAAACCAACACGCTCGCTATCCATCTTAAATTTTGTTTTGTTTTCTTTTTAGCTGAGCCTTCCTGCCACCTGTTGGCAGCTCAGCGGCAGCTCAGGGGCAGGTCAGCTCAGGGCCAGGGCTGTTGCTCAGAGCTCGCACTCTTGAGCGAACTCTTGGTTAACCAACTGAGTCACTCAGCCTGCCCTTGTCCATCTTAAACTTACACAATGTTATATGTCAGTGATATCTCAGTAAAGCTGGGATGGGGGCGGGGGAGAAAATGATGGACAGTCTAGCCTCCCCTCCCCCCGCCCCACTCTCACTCCCACTCCCAGAAGTAAACAAATTAATCTTGTTGCTTTTCTTCCCTGGTTCTCTAACAAGCCATTCCATTCCCCCCTTGCCTACACCTTTCTTTAGCTGATATAAATGAGTGTATTTTCTAGGCTACAGATATACCACCCTCTTCCTCCTGCAGAAAGAAATCATAGTTCAAGGAAGCCTCATGAAAAGCAGCAAAAAGGCTTCTCTTACTGGCCTGCATGTCTCCTTTCCAGCCTGCAAACCCCGCTGTGCACAGACCTCTTGCTCACCTGCTGAAAATTAAGCTGCAGTCCCTCTGACTTCTCCTGGGGCTTGATGGACAGGAGGCAGTCTCCTGCAAGACAAGATTCCTTATCAGCCTACCCACCAATTGTCTCCAAAGGCGCTTCCTCTTCTCCTGGACACTGGGGGTCAGGTCACAGAACTGCAGATTTTTAAAGCTAGAAAGGGCCTCAGAATCTATCCAGACCTTTCATTTCTCAGAGGAAGAAACGGGCACACAAAGGTGAAGGGCTCCCCCCACCACAAGGTCACATAGTGAAAGCTAAGGGCAGAATTGGGGTTACAACCCAGGACTCCTGACACCCTGGCTTTTGCTTTTCTTTCCCCAGCCTTGCAGAGAAGCCCCGTAGACCTGCACCCTCCCTGACACATCAGAGCCCCCAAGGGAGTGTCCGTCAATATTCTGGATTTCTGGCTGAGTGGACAGCACTTGAAGCTTCTGTGGAATTCCCCTTCAAAGCTCAGTCACTCACCAAGGTGGGCCATGAGCTCGTCTGAGGTGATCACTTCCTTCTGAAGGGGCAGCTTGACCTGGAGATGAAGGGGTCACCAAAGGGTCAGCTATAGGAGTGCTTTCCGTCACACAGCATTGAAGGAGAAACCCACGAAAGGCGGGGAGAGGGCAGGGGACACGGTGGACAAAGAAAGCTCGCAGCGGGGGCAGGGGAATACATGTGACATGCTTCAAGGCAGTCCCATGTGCCAGGGGGTGGAAAATACAGGAGGAGGACAGGTAACTGTTCTGATGAACATTTTATCTCACTTGTTCAAGCTGGAGAAACAGAATAATCTGGGAAGTTGGGACTGGTTTGAGGAAAATCAGGACGCTCCAGGAGGTGGGTGAGGGAAGAGTATGCTCCCCTACATTTTCCGAGCCCCAATCCGAACCCTCTCTCACCTTCCACTGAAGAAAGAGGATATTCATGATGGCGAGGAGGGGGCAGGGGCCGTTAGCATTCTGCATGATGATGGGTGTCCGTTCCCCCTTCCAGGGGATCCACTTTACACAGTAGAAATCCAGCTCAGGCGGTCGGGCCCTGGGGGACTGGGGAAGCTCCTGGGGCCTGGAACATGCCCCCGCTGTCTCTACCTCGGGCTGTGTCTCGTGGGCCGGCCCTGGCTGGCTTGAGCTAGCGTCGGGAGGAAGGGACTCAAGTTCATCCTGGCCCTGGGCTGGCAGTGAGGCTTGGTGGGCTGGTTCCTGTTCTCCGGGGGCCGCCCCATCGGCATCTCCAGCATCTTTATCCTGAGGGTGCTCATCTGGCTCTGACAGGACCTCGTGGTTTTCAGAGCTGACTGCTTGTGCAGACCTGGTCTTATCAGAGGCTGGACGCTCAGGTTGATGGCCTTCCATGGTCAGGAGGGATCGACTGACGGGCACCAAAGGACTTGACGGTCCTCAGGCAGTTGCCTAATCCAAACTTCGTACGCAAAAGGGAGACTGATCCAATAAGGAGGAAATCATTGGGCTGGAAAGCAAACAGACCCGGAAAAGGCTTGGAAAAGGGTTGCAGTGTGCACGGCTGGACAGTGTCTGCAGTCGCTCCTGGCGATGTGGAGTCTGTGTCTTTGTCAGCTTGGGTAAACAGAAGGGCAGCCTCAGGCTTGAGCTCTTTTCACCTCTAACCTGCTGTGACCAGATGGGGCCAATGAGTGTACGGGGCCTTCAGGCTTGGGACGGATGATTCTAGTGGGATTGAAGACACTGGGTGGAGTCAGCTTCCCTGAAACAGAGAAGGACAAGGAATGCAGAAAAGACAGAGAGAGTAAAAGGAGAAAGATAAAGGGGAAAGACATGGAGAAAGAAATGTTAAAACTATACTGATGGTTATTAACATGGTTGAGCTTTAGCTCACCCTGTAATAAGCATCAGGTCGGGAACCCCCCCACCTTTGCCAGGACCCAAGTAATTCCTCTGCCCTACACCAAACCCCGCTGTTCACGGACCATCCTGAGCACACACAGGCTGCTTGTACCCTTAGGGCTGCCTTCTCTCTGCCTCAACTCAAGGACGAAGCAATGCACAGTCGCATAGAGCTGGGAGTGATGAGTAGAAGTGCAGAGTCAATATCACGCCGCTGAAGACAAAACGCTGGTGAGGAGAAGTCCTTCGTGTCAAAGGACGCTATTGAGCCTTACACAATCTCAAACCACAACAAAAAAAGGTATTGGGAGGGGCTTCCTGTAGGCTGGAGAGGGGAAATGGAGGCCTGTAGGGACCTGAGTCAGAGGTCGGTACTGATACATGAGTTCACATTAGGACCACAGGGACCACTGCCCCGTACGAATTCTTCAGTGAGCTTTCCTGGACAGCTGGAGTTGAGACAGCAACTTCTCCTCCCAAAACGGCCTAAACCCAGAGATACTCTTTGGCCCACTATTTATACGGAATACAGAAATGCAGATGGTCGATTTACGTAAAAAATGTTCCAGGTACATTCAACCTGCCTGTGCCTTGGTTCTTTCTGCCTGTTCCTTTCTAGGTCATTTTAGATGCGAACCCTGGACCTGTTTAACCTGCTCTCTATCGCACTAAGCATCAAGTTCAGCAGGGACAGACATTTAATTAACACTGTGGACAGTGAACAATAAAAAGCCACAAACCCTTGCCTCTGGAAAACATCTCCCTTCAACCCCCTTGCTCCCCTGACTCAGGGTAAGAAATGGGGAGAAATTAAATTTGCCACAGGTCTTGTCTTTTCTCCAGCTTCTTCCTACCCTGAAACCATGGCTTCCTTCTTGTAATCTGTCAGGAGTTGAAGGCAAAGGTATGGCCTGGGAGATAAAGCGGAGGAACGTAAAAAGTGACCGAAATACCCTTAGTCACCCAAATTGATCAGCCTCCTAATTCAGACATAATTAATGCTAGCCACATCTCATTCACATGTTGCTAATTTAGAATCAGAGTAGCAAAAATTGCCTGCAGTCCTGACACTTTTTTTTTCTCTCTCCTTTCCTCCCCTCCCAAATGACACTTAGGATGAGCCTTGGAAGCAGACACCAGAGCCTGGGGAAGTTTAAAAAGCCTGGAGGAAAGCAGGGCTCATTTCTTATCTTTTCTGTCCAATGCCAGAGAAATGATCAATAATTAAGTGGGGGCTGGGCAGCTAGCTGGCAAGGGGCTGAGCCAAAAGAAACCAGGAGCTGGACAACGGAGGGAGCTGGGTCCCAGAGGAACTGGGCAAAGCTGAGTGGGCTAAGTCCTAAGCGGCTGGGCAGGAAATGTAATGGAGGATTTCCACTCCACAAGGTGCATGTCTGGTGGGGTGGGCACGGGATGATTTCAGAGCAGGAAAGAAGGAGGGGCGAGGACTCAACAAATCAGGATTCCGTTCTTCCCCTCTTCTCAATTCAAGTCCCATGCATTCTCTCCAGCTGGAATTAGCCTCGCGTGGTGGGGGAGGGAGTTAAAATAGCCCTGGCCCCTCCCTAGCAGTGGCAGTAAGTAGCCAAAAGTTGGAAGAAGCCTATAAAATGGGTAGGTAGCTTCAATAAGATCCCCACACACACACACACACACCAGAACTTTCCTCTCCCCGCACGTCCCCTACTGTCCCACTCCAATCTCCTTCTCAGTGTGACCCAGATCGTCGTGCAGCTAATAGTTTAAGAAGTCAACCACCACAGGGCAGAAAAGAAAGAAAGCGAGGGCCCAGGCAGCTCGCCTTTTACACATTGCCCCTGTCTTAGCCCCTCCAGACGTGTAGACACCAAAGATGTGGGGACAGACAGTGTCATCTCCCCAGAGCCGGGAGAGAAAAAGAACGGGGTAGGAGAGGAGGTGAAGGAAACGGATAAAACAACGTTTTTACCTTAAAGAAGTGGGTGCTGGTCCGGGACTAAAAAGGAGGATTCAGGTCAGGCAATTCGATGGGGGCGGTGGGTACAATGAGGCACGCCGCCAGTCCCAGCTGCCTTCCAGCTGTCAACACCAGAGCTTACACATATAGGTTTACGAAAGCGGCGGTCCTGGCTGGGTCTTGGCCACTTCCGGACTCACGCCCAGGACCCAGCGCACTGGACGAGGGCGAGGGCAGGCAGGGGCACAGCCCAGGTGTCCCACCCCTCCAGGTTACTCAGAGCGCGTCTTCAGGATCCCTGAGTCGCCGAGTCCAGGGCGTGCGCGCCAGGCCCTGACTACAAGCCGGTTTTCAAAGGAAGTTTGTAGTTCTTTTTTTCTTCTTTCTTTCTCTCTCTCGCTCTCTCTTTTTCCCATCGGGACAAAGAAAAATTAGTCAAGGGAAGCTCCCTGGAGGAGAAGGTGGCCTGCCCAGCACTGGAGGGTTTCCATCGGGGCTCTCGGACCTGGTCAGCAGCTTGGTGATCAGCAGCAGTGAGGGAGAGAGAAACAAGGAGAGAATAACAACAGAGCCTTTCTCTTCCCTCCGCCTGCCGCTGGAAGGGACCGAGCGCTGTGCCTCTCTGGTGAGAACAGGGAAGGGCAAGTGCCCTTGCCGAGCGGATAGGAGGAGTAGGGCTGGACAGCAGCAGCTCACTGGATTTGGGCTTTCTCGGGTAAGGCGGTCCTTTGCTTTGAATCCACAGAAGCAAGACCAAAGAGCGAGATTTTTACACGTTTACCCATTTAAAAAAAAAAATCCTGCTCCTTTCCAAGTCCTTACTCTACCATTTGTTTAGTCCAGAAATGAAACCGATTGGGGCTAGGCCCTTATTAGCGCAGAAATAGGTGGGCAGGAAGGCGCAGGCTCTGGGGAGAAGAGTGTAGCAGGGAGAGAAGCAGCTGAGCCAGCAGGAGATCCATTACCCCCTGCGCTCTGCTCTGGTCCTTGTTCCCATCACGGGCTTCCCAGCAACCACCTCCTCTCAGCTGCTAGCTTGGGGGGCAGCAAGAGCTGGCGTTGTTAGTCCGGCGGTAGAAAATAAAGGGATGGATTAATAAAGGAGAGAACATTTGATGATGAGAGTACATTTGTTTGCAGCGCTCTGCACAGCGTGGGCCTGGAAGGTGGCAGTTGGAAGGAGGTTGGAACCCAAACTCTACATTCTGAAGGGCCCTCCAAAAATCTACTGACAGGGCAACCGCAGGATGACTGAGCAAGCAGCTCTGAAGGCTGAAAAGGCAGTTGGAACAATTAGGGAGGCAGGGAGCGAAGAACCCAGATTACAACAGTCCAGGAAAAGGAGGAGACGTTTCCAAGGCTATATGAAAAAGAAAAAAGCCGCAGGAGTTGGCAAGAGATTGTAGGTATTCAGAAGAGGCGCCAAAGGTGATTCTAATATTTTTTATCACATGGACAGTTGGTTATCACAAAGTTGGTAGCAATGGGTCAGTTTGGTAAAGGGGAGAATTCGAGAAAGACGAAGAAAAGCTGTTTTGCCATGTGTCATTTAAGATGTCAACCAGAGATTCAGTGTAATATATATGGAAAGATGCTCTTCTTAGCCGGACTCGAGAGGGAGAGTTCAGATGCCACGAAAACAGGTTACTGTGAGACATACACGTTTGTGTCTCAAATGACTGATCGTAGAAAATGCTTCCCTCAATTCTTGGGGCCATTTCGGAGCTTCTGGACTACGACTCCCAGAACGCCCTGCGCCGCGCCCCACTTCGCGCTTCGGGAAAGGCATCCCGTGAGTCCTGGGCGCAGAACTCCGCCTCCTTCGCTGAGGGCGGGGCGACGTCGGACTCCGGGAGTGCGCGCTTACGCACTTCCTCCCCGGGTCGGGGCCGAATCGTAGTGTGGCGGGTTCGAGTCCCGCCTCCTGACTGTAGCCACACGCCCCTGAGCCCCGGGTGGGGCGCATTCGCCGGGTAACCTCTCCACGGCGAGGGGCGGTGGCACACCTTGGGCTTTACCATGGAGGACTACCTGCAGGCTTGTCGAGCTGCTTTGCAGGTAACGCACCCCTCCCTGTCTGGGACCGTAAGAATGGAGCGAGGGCGTGAGATCCGGGGAGGGTCTGTGTGGAGGGAACACGGAATTGCGGGGCAGGGGCTGGGGGACCAGAGCCGTGGGGAACGCGAACCTAGCTCCTGAGAGTGGGAATACGGCTCAGCCTCCCCGTGTTTGGCCCCTTGCTTTTGGGGTCTGCCGGAGAGCGGGTAGGAGGATCGTGGGTCTGGGTCCTGTACCTGAGCCTCCGCTCGCTGTCGCCTGGGTCAGTGCCGTCGAAAGGTCCAGGGCTGTGCCGCCGCCAGGGGTGCCCCGGAGGTGTGTTTGTTCATTTCTCCCCGCCCCTCTTTCAGCTCTCCGCCCTCGAGGCCTCCTTGGCCCACTGGCCTCCAGGTGAACCCCGGGGGGTACGAGGGAACCTGTGCTCGTGGCTTTCTTGCCACTGAAGGGCGGTTTCTGTCTGGCCGGCCTGACTCCTTCTAGAATAGAGGGGGTCGTGGTGTATTCATTTAAACCTGTTTTTATGATCAGCATACACAAGAACATCAGGCATATCTGTTGACCCGCACGCAACCTGCATTCGTTTGCCAACAGTTTTTCTTCCGTGGCCTTAAGGCACACAGATTACATACCCCCTCCCCCCCATACACACACACACACACACACACACATACACACACCTGGAAGATAAGCACAAAGTGTGTTTGGAATCAAAACTATCAACATGACTCTCGAATGCTTTGTGGCTTATTTTTGGTACTCTCTGAGCCACTTGGAATCTCCCAGCTGAGCTGACAGGGCTTGCAGCATTAGGCTGCGATCCCCAGTTAGCCGCAAAAAGCTTGCCAGAGAAAGGTCACCTGCCCCCACCACCCCCACACCCCACTTCAAGTTACACTGTCCCTGTAGAAACCTAGACAGATGGTTGACCCGTCTTCCTTTCTAAGTATCTTAAACTGCAAATAACCCTGGGCGATAAGATTCTGGTCTTTAACAAATCCTGAAAGTCACCTGATTCCTCCTGCAGACTTAGCTGCTGGCATAAATGTCCTCGCCTGAAAAATAGGGGTGAAGTTCAGTTTTAACAGCAATTAACACCAATGACTTGTGAAATACAAATTTGGGGAAAGTTGTTTTAATGCATAAGGCAATTTGGAAGCAATTCATTTTGGCTACCTCCAGTTTCCACCACAGGGAACTCATTAGAGGACTAATGTAGAGTCTGTGGCACCATTCCAAGTGCTAAGCAGTTGGATCCCACCCCCCACCCTGAATAACCCAGATGACTGGTCTCTTTCCCACCATTTGATAAAGAGCCTTTGAACCTGAAACCTCACCAAACAGCATTTCACTGCATGCGTCCATCCTACAGCATCTACCCTCCAGAGGTTAACAGTTTACAGAGGGTGCCCAAAAAAAACTGTATACACATTTTAAGAAATGAAAAACTATCAAAATTGTAATCCTCAATATATACTGATAACAAAAGATGAATACACGTCATGTGTATATATTTTTTTGGCACCCCTGGTATCTTCTACAGCAGTTTTGAAGCTGAAAACTGGATTTTTCTAATATTGCTGGTATCCTGACCTTTTTCTGCCTGCATTCATTCCCCAAGGAGCAAGGTGTAGATCTTAATTTTTCCGAACATGTGAACTTGTGATTTGGGGTTGTAGCTTAGAGTTCTTATCATCACACAGCCTAGCCAGGGGCAGGAGGGTGGGGGGTGGGGGAAAATTAGAAAATTAAACTCTAGGGACGTTAGTGGGTGAACGGCAATAATTTAGATTGCTTTTAATTATAGAAGTTGTAACTATAGATGAAGAAGTTTAAATACAAAAAGGATATGAAATGAAAAAGAAAAAGATCCATTTTCTTCTCCCCATCGAATTCCCCAGAGGCCACACTTGTTTCTTACGTAAAGAAAGCATGATTAATAGACACTGTTAAATTTGAGTGTTTCCTTTCAACTATCGTTTAACTTTTAGGGAATTGTGAATGCTTGACTTTTACACAAGATAAAAACGGCTGATCACCCAGCCAACTCTCTTGTTGATACGTATTTTTAGCATTCGATACCAGAGAAGTTTCTGTAGCCTGTCTGCCTCAATGATAGTAGGTTGCTCCATTTAAAAAGAAATCTCATTTAACAAAATGTCCTATTCATGGTGATTCATCCCTAGTGGGGAAAAAAATCTTTGCTTCAGGATGGGGCTGTACTGAAGTTCAGGTGCCCGTACTGAATGAAGCCTTCAGGTTATCAATGTGTGTTGTCCGCACCTCCTCAGGCATGAGGCAGGAACCTGGAGTGTCTGGCTTTCCTTGGAAATGTCCAATCCTGGCATCGGAATCAGCCGGTCCCATGCTCTGCTGGGAGGGTTTCTCTGCCTCTGGCTCCTTGTCGCTGTTTTTCCCCCCTTCCCCTATTAACTATTTTGTGGGGTAGACATCAGACCACATTCAGCCTCAAAAGGGAAGTGGTTTTCTTTGCCAGCCCTGGAGCCCATGTCCTCTCTCCCCGACTCAGGCCACAAAGAACATCAGGATACAGTCATTTCAAGGAGTGGGTTGTTGTTGTTTTAAAGAAAAAAAGTTTATATTTACTTGTGGCTCTCAGATGGTATTTCTTCCGTTGGCAGCTCAGGTTTCCTCATGCTCTAAGTAGAGCTATATTTGCTCTGAACTCTTCTGCGGATGGTCAGAAAACTGAGGCTGTTTGGCTTGTGCTTTCAGCTGGTGGGGGATGGGGTGAGGGTGAAGAGTTGCCCACGTGTTTCCTAAATGGCAGGAGGACGTAGCCTTATACACCCGTTTGCCCAGGGAAGTCTTCGTTTATTCTGACATGATCATTAGTTGCACCCTTTTTCATTCGCAAGCATCTCGTGGTTTGAACAACAAAGCACATGGTTGCCTACCTGTAAGCTATGTTAAGAATTTGGGATGTACACCCATGAAAAGATAGTGAGTTTCTTAAGGTAGAAGTTAAGCTCCATGTGACAGCCACAGGTGCTGGCAGCTGGAGGTCTAGAGCAGGGGTTGGCAAACTTTTGAGACGGAAGAGCCGCCAGGGATCGGCAAACTGCGGCTCGCGAGCCACATGCAGCTCTTTGGGTACGTACATGGGGCTCTGAAGTAAAATTGAAAATGAAAATAAAACTCATAGTTTTACTATAAAAATTTTAAAGAATATTATTCACATAATGGTGATTATGTAAAAATATATTTATGGCTCTTGAATAATTTTGAAATTTTTGTGAGGGACAGGATTGGCTCTTCCGGGGGTCGGCCAACTTTTGAGACGGAACGTACCCAAAGAGCTGCATGTGGCTCATGAGCCGCAGTTTGCCGACCCCTGGTCTAGAGGAAGGGCGTTGCTCTGGCCTGGGTGGTGGTCAGGGAAGGCTTCACGGAGAGAGGGGGCTTTGGACAGCGCCTGACTGGACAGGGACAGGCAGAGAAGAGAAGGCGGGAGGCAGCTCACCTTTACTTCTATAGGGTGGGCACTTCTGTGCTGTCTCATTGAATCCTTGTTACAACTTCATGAAATTGATTACAGTATTATCCTCATTTAAGAAAATGAATAGGGCCGGCCGAGTGGCTCAGTTGGTTAAGAGCTGGCTCAAGAGTGTGAGCTCTGAGCAACAGTGGTTCGATGCCCAGCCTGAGCTGAGCTGCCACTGAGCTGCCAACAGGTGGCGATGGCTCAGCTAATAAATAAATAAATAAATAAATAAATAAATAAATAAATAGTGAGGCTTAAGGAGACCAGGCTCCCACAGCAAGGAAGAAGCAGAGCTGGGATTCAACCCATCTTTTCGAAGGCGAGTGCTGCTGCTTTCAGACAGAGCAGAGCAAATTGTGCTGGGCCCCAGCACATCATGTTTTGTGGGTGGTGAACAGACCAGTTGGGCTGCGGGAATGGTGGGTGCTGACTGGGCACAGCAATGCTGCCATCTCCCTCGGTCACTCCTATTCCAAAATGTCCTAAAAGTCCCAGAGTATTCCTTTTGTGTTAGTTTCTTTTGACTGCCGGCTGAGCTTGGCTGAGCGCAAATTACCCTTCCCCTGGAAATCATTTATTAGACTTCCCCTGGAAACCATTTCCCCTCACCCCAGAGCCATGACGTGTTCTTGCTCCTGCTTTCCGCTTTGCTGCTTAGCCTTCTGTCGAAGCTGGAGGTCTGACCCACCCTGACTCCGCCGCCCCTGGAATGAAGCTGTACTCATATGAGTGAGATTGGGAAAGTCCTCTGAGGGCCTGGTGCCCAGCAGTAGGCCTCTCCCCCTTGCTCTCGGCCTTTTCTCTGTTCCTCTGACCTTTTTCTCCACCGTCAGGGCCATGTGGCCGCCCGTGTTTATATATTCCCTCTCTAGAGAACATAGTGCCCCCCCCCACACACACACACTGCTTCAGTGAGCGATTTTCCTGTGCAGCCACTTATCTCAAGTGCTTTGTTGCCGCTTTGGTCCACGGCCATCTGGGCAGAGGGGCCTTCTCTGGGATCAGGAGGAGGAATTGCGAATCAGAGAAATTACCCTAGGACTGGGGTCTTGGGTCCAGACTTCTCGTATTGTGTTGGAAAAGAGTTCATGCTGTTCAGTCCGAGTGAGTCTTGGCTGCCACCCCGCTGAGGGAGGCTTAGAGGAATGGCCCAGCGGAGAACCTCAGGGCAAACTTTCCCCAGGGGCCCTGCACCCCAAATCTTGACAGATGACCGCTGCCTTTTGTTGTTCTCTCTTAGAGGTGGGAGTAGGAGGTGAGAAAGAGGGTGGTTTAAAAACAAGAACCTAGTGAGTTACTACATAAGGCAATTTCTCCCACCAGGAGTCTTCTGAAATTGCCCCTTTCTTGCTGTAGCTTTCTGGGGGGCGGGGCAGGCAGGTAACAGCCAAGGGAAGATAATTCTAGGCTCCCCTAGACTCTCTGTTTCTAAAGTTACATAGTTACGCAACGCTTCCTAAAGTTATGTGACCTGGTAACTGTTCCTTGCTATGTTTTGCTCCCCTGAGCCCCTTTCCCACTTTTCGAAACTCTTTCATCTAATAAATCTTCCCTGGTCGAAGAAGCCGGAGTGTTTGGATTTTCAGCTTTCTGGCACCCAGTAGTTCTCAGCCCGGAGTTATTCTGCCCCCCAGGGAATGTCTGGCAAATCCGGAGACATTTGATTGTCATGACTGGGGGTGCTGCTGGCATCTAGTGTGTAGGGACTGGGGAAGCTGCCAAGCATCCTGTAGGGCCCAGGACAGCCCTCACTACAAAGAATCACCTGGTCTGAGATGCCAAGAGGACTGAAATGAAGACACCCTGCTATAACAGGTGGATCTCATTTGTCTTTTCCCTTCGTCTCTCAGAACCAAAGTGGTCAGAGAGAATTCATGTTCCCTAAGCTGAGCCATGGACCTTGGGGTCCCATCCTACCTGCCAGAATGCTCATACCTGGAGCGAAATCCTAGTCCTTAAAGTGCCTATCCCTTTGGATTGCTTTTGAGGACTAAATGATTAGTTCTTCCACATAAAAATATGAGCACACACACTCAGTAAGTGTTTCAAAAAGAAACCAAGCCCCTGTCTCTGCTATTGTGGGCACTGGAGGGGTTTTGTTGTTGTTGCTGTTGTTTTAAGATTTTATTGGGGAAGGGAACAGTGTTGGGGAATTGGGAAAGGGAACATTGTGTTTTTCCAGGACCCATCAGCTCCAAGTCAAGTTGTTGTCCTTCAATCTCAGTCATGGAGGGCGCAAGCTCAGCTCCAAGTCCAGTTGCCATTGTCAGTCTAGTTGCAGGGGCGCAGCCCACCATTTCATGCAAGCGTCAAACCAGCCACCTTGTTGTTAAAGAGCATGTGCTCTCACCAGCTGAGCCACCCGGCTGCCCGTTGGCAGTGCAGTGGCAGCTCAGCTCAGGCGCAGCTCACTGGCCCATGTGGGAATCGAACCGGCGACCGTGTTGCTCAGAGCTTGCGCTCTAACCAACTGAGCCACCTGGCTTGCCAGCACTGGAGTTTTTAATGTATATGATTTAAAACCCTGAGAGCTAGGGAGATACAAAGTAACAGGTTAATAATAACCCTCCCTCCTCAGACTTCTTACCGGCAGCTGGACTTTTCAAAGCTTTATAAATACGATGCCAGCACCAGCCGCAGCCGTTCTCTCCTCCATCAGAGCCTGCTGGGGAAATGTCTGCTTCTTGGGCTGTGTGAGTGTTGGTTGTCCCTGGTTATTATCACTGACGCTCCGCAGGGAAAGGGACTTCTCGTGGACGAGTGGAGAATGGACTAGGTCTTATTTTCACCTGTGTTTACCTAGTCTTATGATTTAGAAGTGGAAGGACTTTCTTTCCTATTTTGAAAATGGGAAAAAACCAAACCAGGATTGATACGGCTTAAATTCATCAGCTCCCCCAGGTACTCTGCTCCTGACTTCTCCTCACGTGCCCGAAGCCAGGTCCAAAATCAGAGTAGTTATCTGTCTCCTGCTGTTCTTCTGTAAGTTCACATTTGAGGGGACAGCATAGCAGAGAAGAAAGCACGCTTCCCCACTCGCTGGCTGTGTGTGTGATGCTCGAAGCTCAGCTAAAACTCGGACGCCCTCTCAGCTAGCGTCCTCATCCATGAGGTGGGACCCGAGAAGGCCTGGCCTGCCTCCTGTGTGCAGATCGGTGAGAGGGTGTGTGTGAAGCCTTACCCGAGTGCAGAAGGCAGGTGGACATGGGTAGAGATGCTTCTGTCCATGTCCCATTCGCGTTCCTCCCCAGGGGTCCCGACCGCTCCATGTCGTGCTGGGAAATGAGGCCTGTGACTTGGACTCCATGGTGTCCGCTCTCGCCCTGGCGTTTTACCTGGCAAAGGTGAGTACTTAAGTGAAGAGATGTGGATTCAAGACCCAGCTCTGCTGCCTAATGCCATGTGGTCTTGGGTAAGTTACATCCCTTAACTTTGTGGAGTCTCGTGTCGCCCTCTGTCAAGCCCGAAGTGATAACATTTTACAGCGTTGCTATGAGGATCAAATGAGTAAATGTATTTGGCAGCATCGCAAAGCAGAAAGCAATATGCAAACGGTTTGTTATCGAGTTCCTCATGGGTATCGGCGATCTGGTGCGTATTCCTCACACCCAGGTCAGCTCTTGAACACTGACAATCCCTTCTCCGCGTCATCTACAACCAGGTCTTTTCCTTGAGTTAGCTTGTTGACCTTCATGTCATTGCTAAGAAGGAGAGAGGGCAAGAGTCGTCCTTTTGTTTTTATCCACTGGGTAACTGTGGCTTTGTGGAAGGCAGTAACTTACCCAAGGTCGTGTCCCCCTTGGTCCCAATAGTCTTGTTACGTTTCCTGTTTGTGCCAAAACACTGCCGTAGCTTCTTTTCGCTCCCTGCAGACGACCGAGGCTGACGAAGTTTTTGTGCCAGTTTTAAATATAAAACGTTCAGAGCTACCTCTACGAGGGGACAACGTCTTCTTCCTTCAGAAGGTTCACATTCCTGAGTCCCTCCTGATTTTCCGGGATGAGATTGACCTCCACGCACTGCACAAGGCTGGCTGGCTCACCCTCACTCTTGTTGATCATCATGCCCTCCCCACGTAAGTGGAAGCGGGTTGAGGTAATTGTTAGCAAGGGCCGTGCTGGCCTCTGATGAGGAACGTATAAAGAGATAAAGAATTTTTGCTCTCAGGGATCTCACAGGCTAATCATAATGGATGGGACATAACGGATACAGAAAAAAAGCGAGATTATTTCTTACCTAAGACAGGATCTCATTAGTGTCTATTTAACAAAGGTACACACCTATAATAATTCTATCCCTAATTTAGGACCGAAAAAAACTGCCAGAAAGCAACGTAAGTGTGAGACCTTCTGAGCCTGTCTGGCTCCCACTAGTAGTAAAATGTATATTTTTTACTGAGCACAGTGGTTTTCGCAGGACATTGACAGAGGGTAGCCTCAGGGCGTGGATCCAGCTATCCATTCACTCAGTAATAAACTTCCGTTTAGCAGCGGTTCTCAACCTGTGGGTCGCGACCCCTTTGGGGGTCTAACGACCCTTTCACAGGGGTCGCCTAAGACCATCGGAAAACAAAAAGATATTTACATTACGATTCATAACAGTAGCAAAATGACAGTTATAGAGTAGCAACGAAAATAATTTTATGGTTGGGGGTCACCACAACATGAGGAACTGTAGTAAGGGGTCACGGCATTAGGAAGGTTAAGAACCGCTGGTTTAGAGGATGAAGGTGAGACAGAGTCCCTATTTTCAAGAAGCTTTCAGTCAAGAAGCGTTAACTAGGCAAACAGGTCATTGTAATGGGCTTAGAGTTAAGTGAGAACTGTCACTGAAGGGTGGAGTGCTTTCAGAGCTGACCCTTGATCTCAGCCTTGAAAGATGACTAGGTGTTTGCTCAGGGAATGGGGAGCGGGGTATGTAGGGAAAACATCCAGGCAGAGAGAGTGCTTAGAATAAGCAAAGGCAGGCAGGCATGAAATAGCATGGTGGGTTGTGGGAACTGGCATTTGTTTTGCATGGCTGGAGCATGAAATATGAGGGAGAAGTAGAACACAGAAAAAGATAAGGCTGGAGGTGGCCAGGGGCCAGACCCTGGAGACCTGGTGGGTCCAGCCAAGGAGATTAGACTTTATTTTAGGGCAGTGGGAGACTCATGTTGATTATACTTAGTCCAGGTCCCAACCTAATTGAATTTGCATTCTTCACATGATCATTCAGGTAGCATTGTGGAGGATAACTTAGGAAGGCCCGGGACTGGAAGCAGGTGTTTGGCTACAAAATTATTGGAATAGTCCAGAGGAGACACTGAGGGCCTAGAATAGGACAGCAGCAGGTGGCTGGAAAGGAGGAGATTGAGACAGAAGCCACAGGATCTACTGACCTGCCTGGAATCGGGGTATTAAATGAATTAAGGGAACGAGAGATTTAGAGGATTGGTATCAAGGGTGTCATTTGGAAAGACAGCCCCAACGGACATCAAATATGAGAGTAAGGTCTTGGTAGTGGATGCTTTGCCAAATTCACGCAAACCCTATTTAAAGATGACGTCAGTTATAACACTGGAGAATTGAGCGCAGTGAGGCAGAGGCAGAAGAGACCAGGGCTCTAAGTGTGGGCCTGAGACGCCGGCATTTTCCTTCATGAGTGAGGTGCAGATTGGTCGGAAGCAGCCGGAGTGCTCCTACCTATCTCTCTTTCTCTTTTCCCACACCCCCGAACCCCCTTCCCCACACAGAAGCGACGCAGCCCTAGAGGACGCAGTAGCAGAGGTGCTAGACCATCGGCCCATTGAGCAGAAATGCTGCCCTCCCTGCCACGTTACGGTGGAGCTGGTGGGGTCTTGCACTACCCTGGTGACCGAGCGGATCCTGCAGGGGGCACCAGAGACCTTGGACAGGCAGACTGCAGCCCTTCTGCACGGTGAGGGTGGCTTGGCTGGGGCCTGACAAGTTAGTTCCTCTATTCATATCCCAGAGAAGAGAGAGTGGAAAAGTCTAGACTCTTCCAGCCTGAAGTACCCTCTCAGAGCCATTCAGCCCATCACAAAGGATGGGATTCTTTTAGGACTCAATTAGGCACTAGAGGCTGTGGGATACTTTGTTATTTAAAGGCCTGGGGGATACATTGTTGTTAATAGGCCTGGGGATACACTGTTGGAAAAAGCAGAAAGGAAGCCCAGGACAGCAGGCTCAGAAGCTCCCTTAGCCCCACAGTATACACGGTCTAATGCAAAGAGCCTGAAGAGAAGCAGGACAGATTCTAATACTGCTTCTGCCCAGGAAGTAGCTGTCTATGTGACTTTGAGGAAACCTTTTCACTTTTTTATTCCCATTTTCTTCATTTGTAAAAAAAAAAAAGAGAAAGAGTTAGACTAGACTCTCTCTTCCAACTTATAAGAGTCTTTACTGAAGGGGCGGTTAGCTCAGGTGGTTAGAGCACGGGTTCATAACAGCAAGGTTGCCGGTTCGATCCCCATATGGGCCAAGGAGCTGCACCCTCCACAACTAGATTGAAGACAACTACTTGACTTGGAGCTGATGGGTCCTGGAAAAACATACTGTTCCCCAATAAAAATCTTAAGAGAGAGAGAGAGAGAGAGAGAGAGAGAGAGAGAGAGAAGCGAGTGCACATTGGACTAGGTTTCAGAATCTCTGAGGATTGAGATGCTCAGGCTTCCTTTCTTCCTTTCCCCCACTTCCCTGCCTGCATTTGAGTTTGGAGTTGGGCCGTCTTCCTCAGGACTTAGTCCCAGTTTCTTGGTTTGTTTTCAGCGAGTTTGCTACATGGTCTCTCTCCTCTGTGTCGTGTCCTTTTGCTTGGAGGGTTGTGTGTGTTCTAGGGGTCGTGAATGGAGGGCCATGCAACCTGAGTTCTGCCGTCTCCCTTCTCCCCAGGAACAATCATCCTAGACTGTGTCAACATGGACCTTAACATTGGGAAGGCAACCCCAAAGGACAAGAAATACGTGGCGAAACTGGAGGCCCTCTTCCCAGATCTGCCCGACAGAAAAGACATCTTTGATTCTCTGCAAAAGGCAAAGTTTGATGTGTCAGGTGGGAAGTGCTAAACTAACGTCCCTCCATCCCAGGTGGGAAAACAGGTGGGGAGCACCATCAGGACAATTTCAGAGTATGCGTAATGATTCAGCTTTACGCTGAAGAGAGCCAAGGCGGTGTGTGCGTGATCAGGAGATAATCAGTCATTGACTGGATTGCTCTATCCGGGCTATTGGGGAGGAGGAGGAGGAATATATTAAGAGTCCCAGAGGTTTCCAGTCTAATCAGAATATAGACATAGAAATCAAATATGCCGAGGGAATACTAAATTATCAGAGGGAGAGCTAGATGGTTAGGGAAGCAGAAGAAATACACCAAGGTGAATATACCAAGGACAAAGGAAGAGAACAAAAAATCTTCCATAATTTTCTACCCAGCTACCACCTGTTGACTTAAAGAAAAGTGCCACATGTGCTTTTAGAAAATGGAAACAACACAGAAAGGGGGACAATCCAAAGCAAAAGGCTCCCTTCTGATTTTCACCCTTCTCTCCAGAATCCCCCGTTCTAGCAATAACTATTGTGACCCAGTAATTTAAGTCATTTTGTTTATATAATGACATTCTCAGCCACCAGTCCTTTCATTGCCCCAAAGAGAGACTGTGTTCTCCCTCTTCCGTGGCCCACCTTGGTGTCCTCACTTCCTAGTCTTAGGACCCTGGGCTCTTTGACTGCAAGTCTCACATCCCCTTTCTAGGACTGACCACCGAGCAGATGCTGAGAAAGGACCAGAAGACCATCACCAGACAAGGCATCAGTGTGGCCATCAGTGCAATCTATATGGATTTGGAGGTAAGAGCAAGGTGTGAGTGCGGTGAGCAAGAAAACCTTCAGTTACCCAGGTAACCTCGCCCCCCACTTCTGGTCCTCCTCCGGAGCACATCTCGTCCCTTCCTGCGTTTGTCCATCTCTCTTGTCACTCCCACAGTTTACTGGTTTCCCTGCCTCCACTTTTGTACCCCTACAAACCATTCTCCCCGCAGCAGCCAGAGTGATCTCCTTACTACGAGAGTTAGCTCCCGTCACCCCTCGCTTTACCGCCTCTTCAGCGGGCTTCTATAACACAGAGGCCTTGCTGTGGTTAGAGCGCCCTCCTTGGTCTGGCCCTTGTCTTCCTCTGTGACCTCATCTCACTCCAGCCCCGATTCCCCGCTCCTGCCCTCACACTACTGCAGCCACACTGGCTTCCTTTCTGTTCCTTGGCGCCATTAGGCTCACTCCCAACTCAGGGCTTTTGCACTTGGCTTTTCCTTTTGCAGAGCCTGCTCCTTCGTAGCACTGAGCTCAGATGTCTCCTCTTTTAAGAGGTTCTTTCTGACCATCCTAACTGAAATGATCTCTAGCTCAAAAATCTCTAGCACGTACCTTACTCGGTTTTCCTCATAGCACTTAACACACCGGAACCATCATATTTCATGGTTTCCTTACTTACTGCCTGCTCCTCTGCTTGTTTATCAGCCCCGCCAGAGTGAGGACCCTGCCTCTTGGGTTTGGGCTGTGTCTCCAGCACCATTGCCAAGCCTGGCACACAGCGGGTGCGCAGTAGACTTTGTTCAATGGGTGAATGAATAGAATTTGGATACTTGATATCTGAAGTGGTATTTGAATTCCTGGTTCCGTATCCTATTGGTTTAAATCATTCGACAACTTGATCTGAACACATACTCTCATAGCCTGCACAGCTTTCTAGTAAATACTGTGCACAAATGCTAAAAAAACTAAATAAGACAAAATAGCACAGCCTCCTTCATTACGACTCATAACCTAGTTTGGAAAACAAACATAAGAACTGAAAAAGCTTAGCAAGTACCATAACCACAACACAAACAGACACATTTAGAAATGCCGAAGGGAGAGAAAAGCCGTGATCAGAAACAGCTGGGGGTGTTATCCACGGGGGGAAGCACTGCGTGAGATTTTGGAGAAGAGCATAGATTGGCACAGGGTGAAGAGTAGGACGCGGTTGTCCCATTCTGTTCTTATTCGTATGCCCCATATTTCCGTTTTGGAATAAAAATACCCGCACGGCAGAGACCTTTGATTGCAAGAGCAGGAGAGCCCTGTACGTGCCAGGCACATTACATACATTATGGTCTTTTTTAATTCTTAAAACAACCATGTTTGGTAAGTGTTTTATCCTTATCGTACAGGCGAGAAAACTGAAGTCCAGGGAGGTTAATGAAACTCCTTGCTCCTAAAGCTTATAGGTAACAGAGCTGATGTTCAAACCAATTCTGTCTGAACCCAAAGCCCATCTTCTCCCTGCTCTACACACTGCCTCCCCGCACAGAGTACATACCAGGTACCTCTTTTGTGGAGCGCCCGTCCCAGGTTAACACGCAGAGAAGCCCTTCATATGCGTGTTGTGTTGATGGTGACAAGAGGGGGCCGGCTGTCGCCCTCATCCCTGTCCATGTTTTCTCTTCCAGGCCTTCCTGCAGAGGTCTGGCCTCATTGCAGACCTCCATGCTTTCTGTCAGGCTCACAGCTATGATGCCCTGGTTGCCATGACTATCTTTTTCAACACTCACAATGAGCCAGTGAGGCAGCTGGCTATTTTCTGTCCCTACGCAGCCCTCCGAATGACGGTGAGTCTCTGTCCCTCCTCCAGCCCGAGGGCCCCGCAGCGCTCTACCTGTGCACACTGCTCTATGCTGTAAGACCCCTCTGTGGTCCTTAGATTGACACAGAGGTCCTGTGTATTTCCAAAATTCCCCCTCCCCGCTTTTCCCCATTCTCTGCATACGTGAATACGCTTAATCATACGATTGTTGAGGGAGGGAGACTCCAAAGAGAATTGGAGACACGGTTCCTACTTAGAAGGAACTTAAAATCAGCTTCAAAGAAAATGCTATGAAGTTGGAATTAAGACTTGGTTAAACATTGATTCCCACCCCCCTGAAAATCAATTCTTTTTTTTTTCTTTTACCCTATTGCCTTGGAAATGGGAAACACGAGAGAAAGCTTTTCTGCTATTTATCCATGCAGTGATTAATTATTCTGTGTAGCGCTGACGTAGACTAGTGATCTGGGAGCAGGTTTGTTTGCTTTCCTGATCTGCCCTGGGGCCCCCTTGCCTCCCCTTCCTGCCCTTTCTTTTCCTCTGTTGGTTACTGATTAGCCCAGGGAAGAATTTAAAAGTGGACGTAAGGCCGTCCAGGGGCTCTCTGGGTTGCTTGGCTGTGTGAGAGCTGCCAAAGATGGGTGACTACAGCCAGAGAACCCTTTGAGCCCCCCGAAAGGTACGTCCGCCCTCCCCCACCTCTCTCTGCCTGTCTCCTCCTCTGGGAAGCAGGCATTACTGTACTCAGGGGAAGGTAGTTTGGCCCTGTGGAAAGAACAGTGGTTTCAGAATGATGCTTTCTAAAGGCAGGTAGACATGCTTTTCTGTCCCGGGTTTGCCACTTCCTTGCTCTTTGAGCTAAGGCAAGTCTGTTGACTTCTGAGTTCATAAGTGGCATGATGTTACCTACTAAGTAATCAGTCTGATGTAACATTAAACACAGTATCATGTCAAGTATATTGCTGGACAGAGCCAGCGCTTGGTACTAGGTGGCTCTTAACAGTCGTGCCATGAAGGAAAGGGTCCCTCGATGATAGCAGTGCCTGTCCCCACCTTGTCCCCACCACAGCCCCTCTGTGCTGGACCACAGGAGTCCTCTCCCACCGTCCCCTGCCATCGCCTCTTTTCCTCCCGTTGGGACAGTATAATACGACAATTTAGAGCACCAGCTTTGGTGACAGACCTAGGCTCAAGTGTCAGCTGTGCCTCATTCAAACTATGACTTTAGGCAAGTGACCTAATCTGTCTGAGCCTCAGTTTCCCTACCTGTAAATGAGGGTAATGGTAACACCAATCTTGTAGTTGTGAGGATTAAAATAGATAACACGGGGCCAGCCAAGTGGTGCGTTGGTTAAGAGCTGGCTTGGGACACCAGAGGGCCCCGGTTCGGATCCCACATATGGGGGCCAGTGACACTGCCCTCCACAGCTAAGATGCTGAACAACAGCTCAACCTGGAGCTGGGCTGCCGTGAGTCGCCAGCGGCGGCGTAAGCTGCAGCCCCTGCTGCAGTGGGTTGCCATGGGCTACTGTGTGTAGCCAGCAGCCTGTGTGAGCGGCCTGCAGCCGCCACGATCAGCCATCCAGAAGCCGGCAACTGATCTGCCTCGCCCAGGAAGAGCGCAATGATGGTGCCAACTTGGGCCAGGGAAGCAACATCCTCCACAACTAGACTGAAGAACAAAAAAGGACAGCAACTTGTCTGTCCCCCTTCCTCCAATTGCCCAATTAAAAAAATAAAAAATTTTTAAAAATAATAATAAAAATTAAAAAAAGAAAGAAAATACTTAAAATGGACCAGAGACCTAAATGTAAGAGCTAAAAGTTTAAAAAAAAGAGAGAGATAACACAGTAAAACCTTGGATTGCGAGTAACTTGGTTTGTGAGTGTTCTGCAAGATGAGTAAACATTTCTAATACATTTTAACTGGGTAAATGAGCGATGTCTTGCAATATGAGTAGTTTGTTTCCAGACGAATTATGCTCGCAAACCAAGGTATTACTGTATTTGTAAATGGCGAGACTTGGCACATGCCTGGCGTACCTCCCACCCCACTTTGACCTGTTTATTCATTCTGCCTCTGTCCTTCCCCTGACTTCAGTATAGATGCTTGTCCCATCCCAGCTAAGGATAGAGGTCAAGTTTTTGAGCCCAGGAATGCACTTGGAAACAACACTGGGTTAGGAGCCAGGGGGCCTCCGTGCTGGTTCAGATTCCACCATCATCTACACAATTTTGTTCAAGACGCTTAAGCTCTCGGGGCTTTGGCCGACTTATTAATAAACTGAAATAGATGATCTCAAGCGTTTCTTCTGTTTCTGAAATACTACGTGTTTTAGCTGATGTGCCTTTGGTTGCAAGCAATAAAACTGGACTCTGGATGGCTTAATGAAAAACCATTTCCTCCTCTAAGAGAAGCCTGTAATTGAGAAGCCTCGGCTCTTTGCCTCACCACCTTATAGACCATTTCCCTGTCTTGTCTCCCCTTTAGATCTGTGGAGCCCTGGAACGCTCCCACTCTCCATTCCTGAAGCTGACCCCTGTCCCCAGCAATCACCCCAACCTCCAAGCCTACCTCCAAGGCAACACCCAGATCTCTCGGAAGAAACTGCTGCCTCTGCTCCAGGAAGCCCTGTCAGCATGTTCTGACTCCATGACAATCCCTTCGGGGCAGCCTGAGACCGGGGGTGTGTCCAAGGAGCAGGTGGACACGGAACTGGACAGGGGAGGTGCCCCCCTGATTCCTGGACTGAGTCAAGATGAGGAGGACCCCCCATTGCCCCCCACACCCATGAACAGCTTGGTGGACGAGTGCCCTCTGGACCAGGGGCTGCCCAAACTCTCCGCAGAGGCCATCTTTGAGAAGTGCAGTCAGATCTCTCTGTCACAGTCTACCAGCGCCTCCCTGCCCAAGAAGTGACTAGTGGGACAGGAGTGGATAGTGAGAGAGGTTGCTTGAACCATGTTTTAAGACGTTTGCATGTTTTGAGACGTTTCAGCAATTTTCTTCATTGCTCCAGGATCTGGTGTACTGTGATCATAAACCTGGGAGGAGAAAGAAGTACAAGAAAGCAGCTGCTTTGGGCCGGCCAAGTGGCTCAGTTGGTTAAGTTAGCTTAAGAGCACGAGCTCCGAGCAACAGGACCGCCAGTTTGATTCCCACATGGGCCAGTGACGCTGCGCCTGAGCTGAGCTGGCACTGAGCTGCCAACAGGTGGAAGGATGGCTCAGCTAGTGAGAGCACGTGCTCCTAACAACAAGGCTGCCGGTTGGACTCCCGCATGGGATGGTGGCTATGCCCACCCACAACTAAGATTGAACACGGCACCTTGAGGTGAGCTGCCGCCCAGATGGTTCAGTGGATAGAGCGTGCACGCTTAACAACAAGGCTGCTGGTTCGACTCCCGCATGGGATGGTGGCTACGTCCACCCGCAACTAAGATTGTAATAGCACCTTGAGCTTAGAGGCCACAAGCTGCCGACCGGCAGCCAGATGGCGACTGATGCCCTCCACAACGAAGATTGAAGAACAACAGCTTGGCTGGTTTCCTTCCCCAATTCCCCAACACTGTTCCCCTCCCCCAATTCCCCAACACTGTTCCCCTCCCCCAATTCCCCAACACTGTTCCCTTCCCCCAATTCTCCAATTAAAAAAAAAAAGAAAGAAAGCAGCTGCTTTATGAATGGCTTTCTCCCCCGCCCCTCCACCCCTGCCCCAGTCTCTACCAATCAAATTTTATTATTTAATTTAATTCTTTAAATCTGCACTGACTCTCCTCCATCTCATTTGCCAGGGTCACAGTGTGATTCCCCATGCAGCCCAGCAGAGGGGCACAGAGAGTGTGTGCCCAGCAGTGCCCTCCGCGAGGCCCTTTACCAGTGTCTCTCGCGGAACCACACGTTTACTGTCTCCCTGTATTCATTTATTCTCTGGTTAAGTCGAGTATTGATTACTGAATACCCACTCTAAGCTAGGTAGAAAAATAGAGTGTGCTTCGGAAACTCTTAGTCCGTTTTCAGCCGTTAGCACATTTCCAGCTTCAAGAGCCCTCTCTCTGCTCCCATTAGGTCACGATGTCTGATTCCGAGATGGCTAAATTTGTGTTCTGAGCTTATTGTGACTCTTCCGGCATTATTCGGGGAGCAGAGTAGAGGCCACTATCCTCTGTCCTGATCAGGTGGCCCGGCTCTCAGCTTCTTTGGACTCCTGTGCTCCAAAGCCACTAGGAGCCTGAAGAGACCCAACAGATCCTGGTTCTGGAGTGTTCTGGACCTAAGACTTCACGGACACTCTTCCCCAAAGCCAGCAGCACTGCGTTAAGAGCCCAGGCTCTGTCCCTGGCCTTAGCGGGTCTATCAGTTTCTTGTCCATGTCATCCTCTTGCTCATGTTAAGAGGAAGTGTGAACTTCTGACGCCAGCTGCCGTGAACCATGTGTCTTTTGGCAAAGACACTGCGTCTCTTTGGGTCTCCCTTTCCCCGCCTGTAATGCTAAGGGCCTGGACGCGGAGCGCTGGTGGCCTGTGTGTGGTCTGCCTCTTGCTGCCATCCTTTCTCTCCTCTGAATTTTGTTGTTGTTTTTCTGTTTTCCCTGGGAATGCCCAGGCTCACTGGATTGTCTGTATTCATACGTGATTGTGCCAAGGGACTCAGCCTCATGTAGCATGTACAGAGGTACGACTCAGACCTTAGTGACCTGCAGAGAGCTCTCTCCCACTGACTTACGTGGCTTGTGTAGTCTGCTTTTCTCTTCAGACCGACCTGGCCCCTTTTCCCACCTGCAGCTCTATTCCATGTAAGTTGCCAGCAGATTCCCCGAGTAGTGGGGTGTGCGATGGTTTCGGCGTGGCGTCTTCAGTGTGACGGGACGGTCTGACTTCACTGCGGGGATGATGTGTGTAGCCATTGGAAGGTGAAAACCGTGTGTGATAACTGAACCAAAGGAATTTATGTTTTGTAATTTGGGTACTTTATTTTGCATTTTGTTAAAGTATTAAATAATTTTTTTTTCCTGTTTGGGGTCTTATTGTCTCTTTTTACAACGTCTAGTCAGGCCTTTCCCTTGGGTCATTGTTTCAGCCTCCTTGAGTTTCATCTCCCTTCTTCCTGCTGTACTTCATGTTTTCCTTCTGTTGGCTCTTTTTAGGAATAAGGTGCAACAGTCTTCTGTCCCGCCTCATCCTCAGCCTTTCCTTTCGTTTGTTTCTTCCAGAACCCTCCTTACAACATACTTCTGTGTCGCCGATTTTGCTTATGCTCAAAAGGTAGGGCCAACATAGTCTTAAAACCAAAATGGGTTTTACTGTTGCCTTTTTGTCTTTTTTAAAAAAGCAGCTTTCAGGTGATGAGGAGTCTGAAAAGGAGAACAAGTGGCCTTACCTGGCACCCCCCTCAAGACTAGCCACTTTAGAAAACGTACTCTCCTCCCCCAAACCCGCCCCCACTGAGGCAGGGTTATTCTTTTGGGTGAACCTGCTCCTTGGGAAGGGAGGTGGCAAAACCTGTTTGAAGGTGAGGTTACCTCCCTTCCACTCCTTCCTACTCAGAGGCAAGACCAACAACAGCTGAGAGAGAAAAGGGTACAGAAGTGTTGGGGAGCTGGGACCACCAGCTGCCCGGAACTCTAGGTGTGTAAAGGAGACAGGAAGATCTGTGAAGATGGGAACTCTAGAGGAAGCAGGAGAAAAGACATCGGATCTGGGGTAAGTAAGCTCTGGCCTAACTCGATGGGAAATAAGTGAACAGTCTTGAGGGCCATTCCCACCATCCAGCTCTTACCAGGTCTAATCTCGGGTTCCTAGAGGCAATAAGACTAAGGGAATTTGCAGGGAGGGCATGGGTGTGGCTTTAGGTAGGGAGTGTTGGAATGGTATGGGAACTGGCAAACGGAAGGCCAGGGTAATTCCCTATTTGTGTGTGTGTGTGTGTGTGTGTGTGTGTGTGTGTGTGTGTGTGTGTGTGTTTTAAGGAAATATGTGATGATTTGCCCCTGCTCTCTTGTTTTCTAACCCTCGCCCTCCAAAATGGCCATTAGGAAAACTGACCCAGAATTAATTTAGATCCGGGTTCTCCTCCCCAGCAAATCTTCCTTCCTCCTTTCCTTCTTCCTCCACCCCTCCACCCATGCCATGGTTTCCCCTGGCCACTCCCAACATGGTGGAGGAAAGGCAGGCCTGACCAGGTGCCATTCCCCCCCAGCTTTACCCAGTGATAGTGGTGCAGGTCTGTCGGGTTCCAGCCAATTGTAGTGGGAGAACACTCTCACCCCTACTGTGTAGGTGGAGCGGCTGGCACAGATGTAATGATTAGCTTTGCATTCTATCCTTCCTCTGCTCCTCAGCCCAAAAGGAGGGGTGATCTGTGTCTAGCAATTGGCGAAGCGGGTGGAAACATCCTCTGCTCTGCACCTGAATCACTCTTCTCCATTCCAGGGTCTCCTACCTCTCATCTAGTTCCCTTAAGATACTGCCTAGTTTGTCTCATCCTAATCTTTTCTTCGGGGGGGACGGGGGACTATCTTAGGGACAGGGAGAATGCAGAAGCGACAGGACTACAAGCATCCCTGAGACTTGGGGGACTGGATCTGAAGGAGGAATGGCAGGATGAAGAATTCCCTCGGTGAGGAGGCGTGAGAGAGGCTGGGAGAAGGAAGGGGTGGTCACAGATGGAGGGTCCGGATGGTAAGCCAGGACTTGAAGGAAAGAGGCAGGAAAAAGAACATGGAGGTGGTAAAATCATGGCGGGGGGACAGAATCGATCAGTCGATATCTGGCTTGATGCCTATAGTCTATGTTTCTTCCCCCTTTTCATCTTTTCCTCTCCAGATTGCTTTCTGAAGAGGCTGACCCTTCCAAAAATGCTGCCGATCCTAAAAGTGACTCACAGGCCGGTAGGTAAAGTAGACCCTAGGCCTCAAATTCTCGATTCGAATCTAGTGAAGGGTTATGCCACCCACATGCCTTTGCAATTCTAATTCCCTTTTCCCAAATGCCCCCTGTGTTAGTCCTTCAGAATTCACTCCGTATTATCGTTTCCATATAGACAGGAATTCTAACCTCCCCCGCTAACACACACACACCTTTTTGTTCCTCTGTCCACCCCCACCTCCTAACCCAGGTACCCCCAGCACGTTAGCCCTGTGTGGCCAGCGCCCCATGCGTAAGCGTCTTTCTGCCCCAGAGTTGCTGCTGAATTTGACAAAAGGGCCTGGAGACCATGGAGCTTCTCCTCCCCGCTCTGTACCTTCCTCTCCCAGTGGCAGTTCTGACCTGGAAGTAGACGATTTAGAGACACCGTCCGACTCGGAGCAGCTGGACAGCGGACATGAGTTTGAATGGGAAGGTGGGAAAGATGCCTGAGTGCTGAGCTGGTGGAAGCAGAGGCCAGCTAAAGAGGCTCGGGGTGGATTTAGTGGGACTGACATTAGAACTGATAAGGTAGGGACCAAGAAGTGAGGTCAGCAAAACCCATTTCCTCAGAATGGAAAGGTAGAGCCCAGAGATCAGATGTGAGAGGGGGGCTGGGTCCTTTGTGTATTAAGAAAAACTACGGAATGACCATGGCATGCCATCACTGAGCTGGCACTGGAGGTGGAAAGGTGAGGAAGATAGTCCCTACCATCAGGGAATCCTCTGTTTAGTAAGAAATAAGCATAAATACAAGCAAGTGCAGTTACAGGTTATGGCCTACATATGTCCAGGGTGCAGTGCAGGCCGGGAGGAGGAGATGGGCTCTGCTGGAGAGGCTCTGGGAAAGACCACAGAGAAGGTGATTGACAGATGTCCATCAGGTAGTCGGAGAGGCATTCTAGCTGGAAGAGGCGATTTGAAGAATTCCAAGTATTAAGCATGACTATTAAGATATTAAGGAAAACTTGGTCTCTTCTCTACTCACACTTCTGACGCCGTGTGGGTTTTCCCCACATGAACCAATTCTCCAGCTCTCCATTCACCAACTGGTGTCCTGCCATTTAGTTAGGACATGAACCACCTGGAGTTAGCGCAGACCCAGAGGTGAAGGGTCAGTCCCCCAAGACTGCCCCCTCCCCCCACTTCTAACACCAGTCACATGCCCAGGTTGTCACCCGTGCTTCTGACTGACTGGCTACCCCCTACCCGCTCCTCAGGTTCCATAATTTGCTAGAATGGCTAACGGAACTCAGAAAAGCCATTTACTGACTAGATTACAGATTTAGTGTAAGAGGATGCAACTCAGGAACAGCCAGGAGGAGGTGCATAGGACGAGGTGTGTGGAGCTCCCACGTCCTCCCAGCACCTCCAGTGTTTGTACACTGACCCAGAAGCTCTCCGAAGCCCCTCAGTTAGGGTTTAATGGAGGCTTCATTGTGTGGGCACGACTGATTAGCTCACCTGGCCATTAGTGATTACCACAACCTAGTCTCTCTCCCCTCCTCAAAGGTCCACCCCTCTAATCACATGGATGGTTCCCCTGGCAACCAGCCACTCATCCTGAGTGGCTTTCCAAAGTCACCTCATTAATATAAATTCAGGTGGTTGAAAGGGGCTTGCTATGAATAACAATATACTCCTTTCACCTTTCTCATCAGCTGTTTCAGGAGGCAGGGACAAAACAAAAATATACAGAGGGTGCCAAAAAAATGTATACACATTTTAAGAAAGGAAAAAACTGTATTAAAATTGTAATACTCAATATATATCGATAACAAAAGAGGAATACAAATCGTGTGTATACTTTTTTTTTTTAAAGATTTTTATTGGGGAATTGGGGGGATGGGAACAGTGCTGGGGAATTGGGGGAAGGGGAATAGACATGTTGCTGTCGTTTTGTTCTTCAATCTAGTTGTGGAGGACGTAGCTTCACTGGCCCAAGTTGGCACCATCATTGTGCTCTTCCCGGGCGAGGC